TACATGCCGTAGTCGCACTACACGCGCCCTCTACATGCCGTAGTCGCACTACACGCGCCCTCTACATGCCGTAGTCGCACTACACGCGCCCTCTACATGCCGTAATCGCACTACACGCGCCTTCTACATGCCGTAATCGCACGACACGCGCCCTCTACATGCCGTAGTCGTACTACAGACGCCCCCTACATGCTGTGGTCTCGCTACATGCCGTTGTTGCACATGCAGAACCTGGCATTGCATTGCGCCATGCTTACGCAGCTTAACAAGATAGACCTGATAACGTCTGAGATCGTAATTTGATAAATTTACTGTTTTCGTATTATTTAATAATTTATGTTTTAGTAATTGAATAAATTGGCGGTGTCGTCAATTCTTTGCTTTAAAATATGAATCCTGGCCTAAATGTCATTAAAAGCGTGGAGTGATTTTTCCGTCGAATGTAAGCTCGCTTAAATAAATTATTAGTAATATCACTTCGGTTTGTCTGTTTGTTTTTATGCGAAATATTTCCTTCTTTTCGCGCCACCGAACACGCATATAAGGTTTTTAATGCCACATGCAGTACATTTTAACAAGAAGAGGTTACGGGCAGCATTCGCAGACCGCGAAAGTATCATGAGAGAGATGTAAACTGCGGTTTCCATATGATAAGTTACAGCTTGTGTTCAGCCGGTATCCGTCTTATTTACCTGCAACTTAACGTGAGTAACAGTAATAACACGACGGCAAGCTAACTCTCAATTTACGCAGACAGATAATAGGGCGTACGTCTCCGGCGCGGAAAGATGCGCTCTCTGTTTAGATCCCGACCGGCGCATTAAATTTACGACCATTTGTAATTCGGTGAGACAGCAGCATATAATTCCCGTTTTCGTTGGCAAGCCGTAAATCGATTGTTAGAAAGCGCGAAATGCTGGCGTGCCATACAGGGCCGTAGCCAGAGGTAAATTTTGTAAGAGGCAAATGTTGTGAGTTAAAGAACAAGGAGCGAAGCGAGCCAATAGGGCGTGGGGTATGGGGCCCGCTTAATTTTTTTGGGGAGAAATTTCATTGGAGGCATTTGCCTCCTATTGCCTAATGGTAGCTACGGCCCTGGTGCCATAGTTAAGTAATCTGTACTGCGGTCCACCGTGGTGCGGTCGGTTTACCCGACTGTGCTGCGCTCTTGTCGTTTAGAGTGTATCGTGCAGTCTACTGTAATACTGCGGTGTATTTCGGTGGATTGTATTGTAGTTTAGTGTCTCTTTTTGTAGAGAGGCCTTGTTTTTTAGAACACTTGTTCACTGTGTATTGTGTTGTACTGTGGTGCGTTTACTATAATATAGCATTGTATTATAATTGTACTATACTGTAGTGTACTGTACTGTAGTGTAGTATAGCGTACTGTACTGTACTGTACTGTACTGTATTATACTGTACTGTACTGCACTAGTGCAATGTACTTTACTGCACTAGTGCACTGTACTGTACTGTACTGTACTGTACTATACTGTACTGTACTGTACTGTACTGTACTGTACTGTACTGTACTGTACTGTACTGTACTGTACTGTACTGTACTGTACTGTACTGTACTTTACTGTACTGTACTGTACTGTAGTGTACTATACTGTACTGTACTGTACTGTACTGTACTGTACTGTACTGTACTGTACTGTACTGTACTGTACTGTACTGTACTGTACTGTACTGTACTTTGCCGCTGATTTTACCTGTATATTTCTCAATGTAACTGAGCATCTGTGTTCCGGGAACTCGTAGCGTGACTAGATCTGGGATACGGCAAGGACAGGAGAGGTTTCGCAGCGTCACCCATGCCTACTACCGGGATGCCCATGGTGAGTCTTCTTCTCATCGTCGTCGTCCTTCTCCTCCTCCTTCTCTTCTTCCTGCTCCTCATTCTCCACAACCACCACCACTGCCGCCGTCTCCTCATCCTCATCCTCATTCTCATCCTCATCCTCCTGCATCTTCATTCTCAATCCTCATCCCTCATCTTCATCCTCATCCTCATCCTGTCCTAATCCTTATCTGATCTTCATTCTCATCCTCATCCTCATCCTCCTCATCCTTATCCTCCTCCTCAACCCTTATCTTCATCCTCATCCTCATCTTCATCTTCATCCTTCTACTCCTTCCTCCTCCTCCTCCTCCTCCTCCTCCTCCACCACCTCCTCCTTTTCTTCCACCTCTCCCTCCTCTATCTCCTCCGCCTTTCACATTTCTTTCGC